TGACACACTATGTGTATCATGTTTGAGATGGCATTTTGCGTTGCAACTCGCAATTGCAGCCATCAGCAGTGGGGTGAGAAAGAATTGAGACCTTCGAGCCTATCAGTGATGGCCGGATGTATAATCTTCCATGAGACGACGGTATTCCTCTCCTGGCAGAGATAATATATCAAGGCTCCGCGCACGGACGCCATCATATTCAACGGCTCCACCTCTTGTACTCAATGAGCACTCTTGCCGAGGAACATCATTCCTGGTCCTTACTTCGATACCGGCATCTCAGCTACACAAGTACGAGCCGGACAGTGGATTGCACCAGCGCGCTCTCTCTCTTCTACTGACACGACCAAGCCAAGAAGCAATGGTCGCTATGTGGAGCAAAAGTGCAGCCTAAACATTGCCACGGGACATTGGATAATCATGGGCACCCCTCCAACAAATGAACAGGCATACATGCTTCCCAAAAGCTTTGTCCCTTCACTCGGGTTGTATTTTTCCATTTTATGCTCCAATTTATTCCTACGGAAATACATGCCTCTCGTACCTAACCTCCATCTACAAACTACACCTTGACCTTAACACGTCACTGCCTGTATGTGTAAGCCGGAGTCTCCTTCTCGCTCTGGAAACAACGTACTTTCCATATCAAATCAAGAATACAACAATAATCTAACATTTTCTGTTCCCCCTTCCCTGGATCTCCTCAGCAAATGTCTTCGTGGCGCACCACCCTCCTTTCTCTTCCTCCACTCCCCTCTACTTTGAGAGTTGCATAGCTAATATATCGGAGAGGGCGCCCAGCAGGTGGGTGCCCTAGTAGGATAAGATTGAGATAAGAAGAAAATCAAAGGAAACCCCACTTTTATCTATTGTCTACTTTTCACACGGTGTACTATATACATTTTTTGCATATACCCACTCATAGGCGAGGGAGACATATAGAGATGTCTGAACACGCTATCATTTCATTGATGAAATTATACGTTCATATTCACGACACCCCTTGAAACAAAAACACAGCCGGTTTATGCATCGCATTCTCACCATGTAATTTATTTATTTACCCTGGCACATCCTCAATTATAGATTTCTCGACGAACCTCGATAGTTATATGTCTTCGCTTCCCTTCTCTGTACTGTACGTACGCATGATGTCTTAGCCGTCCCGGCTTCAAGAATGATGGATGAATCAAGCCTCGGCAATTAAGAAAGGTATTTTATTTACGTCATTCATCTTCCGGTCCTCATTCAATTATTGATGCATCCAGATTTTACCCAACACAACTACCACCAGGGTTCGAAGACATCGAGACCTATTTTGGAACTTCGGTAACCAGTCTCAAAGTATCGAAAAGCGAACGGTATTGAGGAAATAACTAAGGGTAAGGGGGCTGAATGTGATGGGAAATTGAAAATAACTATCCATCTGTTCAAGGCAAGGAAAAATGCATTTGAGTATTAAATCAGTCATATTTCGCTACGACAGAGCTCTCTCTCTCTCTCTCACTCGCTTTCGCTCTCTCACTCGCTTCAGAAGACCAGTCCATATCTAAGAAGTGATAGAAATAGAGATGAGACACGGAGCCCCATTCTCAACTCCCGTCCCTTT